TTTTTATTGATTTCAGAGAAGAAGGGAGAGGGAGAGAGAGAGAGAAACATCAATGATGAGAGAGAATAATTGATCGGCTGCCTCCTGCACACTCCCTTCTGGGGATCGAGCACACAACCCACGCATGTGCCCTTGACTGGAATTGAACCCGGAACCCTTCAGTCCGCAGGCCAGTGCTCTCCCCACTGAGCCAAACTGGCTAGGACAGAATGTCCTTTCTTTAACCAACACAAGACAATCATGGTTCACAGAGCATGATTAATATTTCCCATAACCATAGCTAGTCACCAATATTCTATTTTTGCCCCTAACAGACTGGCTGCCATTATCCTGTTAAAAAACAAGACAACAGGCCCCAAATGGAGTCATTTATGCTAAACTCCACATCACCAAAGTGAGGCTTAACTTAATTATAATTTCAGCCTCTCCCAGCAATGGAATCTTAAACCAGCCAATCAGGAACCACCTGGTCAGCATCAGTGAGATAATCTGCCTCATAGCCCTCTGCTAAGAGAGAGTAGCCGTGCCACAACCCACCAGCTTTTTGCTAGCAGAACTTTCTTGTTCCCACTCCCTTCTGCCTATGAATGTCTTTGATTTTGTACAGCTCCTTGGAGCGCCTTTCTGTCTGCTGGATGGTATCTGATTCATGAATCATTGAATAAAGTCATTAAGATCTTTTAAATGTATTCAGTTCCATTTTGTTTGTTTTTTAAAAATCCTTACTATATTTGACCAATCCCTGTGTTAGTAATCTATCTCCCAGTGTTGCCATTGTTCTCCATCCAACTGCCATATTGATACTTTCCTCACCAGGGCTGGCTTCATGGGATTTGGCCTATGTAGTTGCACTGGACTCAGTGCTTACGAGGGCCCCTGCTTCATTTATGCTGTTACCTTCTTGGAATTCTTATTTTTTGAACAAGCAACTTTGTGTTTTCATTTTGCACTGGGTCTCACAAATTATTGAACCAGTCCTCTTCTTATCCTGCTTGGACTCCAGGCACCTCCCACATGAACATACTACTTACCCACTCCAGTTTATTCTCCACCTTGTGCCAGGATCTCCCCCTGCACTCACTTTTTGCCCTATGTGGACACCCTCCTCATCTCGCTCTGATTCTGACTCCATGCTCTGGACTACCACACCACCCCTCACCCCATGCTAACCCTGACTTAGCTCTCAGCTCCACCCTAAAGACTTTTGGACTAAATTATTTAGGAAGAGAAAGAAGAAGAACTGGCAAGCATGGCAACTCTGTTGAGAGAGTTTTATCCTTTGGATTTTTTTTGTACCTACACTTGGCTGTTGATGGGAGTGAGAGTCTCATCCTTTTGGTAAAATTCCAGTTTCTAAATAGTGTATTCTACTTAATGCAAGAAATATGGTCTGGGGGACAGAGTCCAGGAGAAAAGAGATCTGGGTTCACAAGTCAATCTGCCACTAAGAACCATATGACTTTGGGCAGCTCATTTCCATTTTCAGAGCCTCTCTTTTAGGCTGCTGAAGAACTGGGGCAAGAATAGCTACTTCAAAGGATCCCATGGGGATTGACCATAGTAACATATGTAAAATATTAAGTAAAAGTTAGTTCTCTCTAGCCCTCAGGACAACCTGTATGCTCAGGGAAGGAAATCAATTTGCCTAAAATCATCAGCCAATAAGCTGCCGGCCCAGAGAGCTCTTGTGTTTTCTCTCCCCTGGCTTGGAGCTCTTCCAGTCCCGCCACTTTATGTTCAGGATGCTCATTCTCAGGAACCTTGGGGAACCAGGCCTGTCTGGGCAAGTGAACAAGGGAAAGCAGGCATCCTTTCAGCCCCTTCATTTCCAGAAACTCAGCCATATTCCTTTGTTCTAATTGTCCTCTGACTCAATGAAGAAAAGGCACCATTTATTGTTGTCATTTTCACTCCTCTCCAATCCTTGAACCTGCTCTTGACACAGCAGCCAAAGTGGCATTTCTAAAACATAAATCAGGTCATGTCTCTCCCCTGCTTAGACCCTTTCATAGTTGCCCATGAACCTCAACATCAAACTCCACTGGGGCTGCAACACCTGGCAGGATCCAGCTTCTGCCAGAATCTCCACCTTCATTCTGTGTCATCAGGGCTGGATTTAAACTTCAGAAGCTCTAAGCATTGAAAAGACAATGCTGCTTCTGTCACATGAGATAACAAATAAAAACGATACTAAACTGTAGAATAAATTGAAGGAGGTCTTTGATTTTATTTTTGAAATAGCAATCATTTTTTTTCCTTCTTTTTCTCCTCCCTCTCCCTCTCTCCCCACCCCCTCCTCCTCCTTCGCACTGGCTGCCTCTCCCTGCTTGCCTCTCTCTGCCTACTCCTGATTGGCCTTCTCTTTTAGTTCCTTCAGTGTTCCCCGCTCCTTCTTCAGGCTGTTCCTTCAGCCCCAATTGCACCTCTCGTCTCACGTCCCTTTGTTGTCCAGCTAACACCTACTCATCCTTCAGCATCACTGGAAAAGTCTGAAGTTCCCAGGGAAAGCTTTCTGGGCAGTTCTGACTAAATCAACCCCCTGGGTTAGATGCGTTTGTATGCAACGTGTGTCACCCGGCTGGCCCATACATTCACAAGTTCATGTACTCACATTGGCACTTGTATGGGCCGTGGCAGTGTGACAAATACTGGACTTGAAGAAGGTGCTCTGACTCGGGGCAAGAAGCCCAAGTCTCCATCTCAGCTTGGCTATAAACTTGGTGTGTGACCTTGGGCAAGCTAATTTCCTTTCTATGGGGCTGTGTCCAGTGGGGGAGGTATGGAAGCCCTTGTCATCCAGACATTCACTTTCTCAAGCAGTCATCCATTCATTCACTGATTGTATTCATTCATCCTGTCAGTCATTTATCATGGAAGCCAATGAAGCCTGTCCTCTGGGTCAGGATGCCCAGGGAATCAGAACACAATCAAAAGCACACTGGGCAAGGCAAACACACAGCACTTAGTATATAACTAGGTACGTGGATACATGTACTAATGGGAGGTCAGGCAGTGCTGCAGGAGCTCAGAGGCGGTAGTAATTGGCTCAGATCTAGGGTGGATTTTTTGGAAAAGTGATCTTGAAGGTTTGAGAAAGGAGAAGAAATGCTGCCCAATGACTTACTTTCAGGTTTGTTGGGTGTGTGCAGGCTCTTAGGGGCCGACCTTTTTGTTTTATGATTTTCACTTGGCTTTCCACAGGAGTCTTGCTCCTTTGGTCCTGCCCCTTCCAAGCTGCCTCTCAGGGGCTGCTTGAGGATCTTTCTTTTTTTTTTTATTAAGAAATTTTCTTTTTTAAAAAATATATTTTTATTAATTTCAGAGAGAAAGGGAAAGGGAGAGAGAGATAGAGATAGAAACATCAATGATGAGAGAGAATCATTGATCGGCTGCCTCCTGCATGCCCCCTACTGGGGGTGGAGGCCCGCAACCCAGGCATGTGCCCTTGACTGGAATTGAAGCCGGGACCCTTCAGTCCGCAGGCAGACGCTCTATCCACTGAGCCAAACCGGTTAGGGCTTGAGGATCTTTCTAAATGACTTCCTGTTGCCTAAGAGTAAGCCCAAGTTCTTTAGCCTGGTAGCAAGCTTCCTCTCACCAGGCCCCGTCTACTTCCAGGCTCTTTCCCTATTGCTCCCCTGTGCAACCTTTGTTTCAACCCTGTTAAAGTATGCAAACGCCATGGCCTCTGCCTCAGTGCCTTTGCTCATACTGTTCCTTCTGCCTAGAATAGTCTTACACCTCTAGAAAGTCTCTTACACAACACATTGCAGTTAGCAATGTCCTTTCTATGCTTCCATTATACTTTATATATCATCTCAATGACTGCACTTACCACTTTGTACTGAAGTTATCTGCCAACCTCTTAAAGGGAGGGATTCTATCTGCATGATTTCTGTAATCCATGTTCCCCAGGCTGGGCACCTGATAAAGGTCTGATGGATATTTGACTAAATAAATGAGTGGAAGAAAGAGGACTCCGTTGAGATAAAGGGGATAGATTTTAATTTAATTAAGTTTCTGGCATCAACAGACCAATCAGCCCTATCTTGCTTTTATTTACTCGATGCATCATGTCTATGAGATCTGGAGTAAAGAGGGAGGAAGAAGAGAAGGCAAAATGGATTGGAGTAGGTTTGCCTTTTTGGCCTTGGAAACTGAATGATTGATTTCAGTACCCAATATGATAATAAAGTTAGCTGTTAAAACACCAGCCATCCCTGAACTGAACAAATCTAACTCCCTGTTGTTCATCTATCAAACTCCTAATCATCCTTCAAGACATCTGTGAAGCCCTGGTGGAGTGGGCCACTTTGTTAACCCTCAACCGTGATCCTTCTTCTATTATTGCATGTATTTTGTAGTTGGCCACCTTAGAATCCATGCTCTTTAAATTTGGATACAATTTTCTGTAGGGGATTCACAGCACTGCATAAGTTTATTCTAAGTGATTAAAATATTTGTATGTTGCAACAAATACAGCCTTATTATGGAATAAGATCTAAAATAATACAAGAATTTTCAGAATGAAATAGGAAATATAGAAATGATAGGTAGCCTTTATTGAACACTAGACCCAAGGCACCATGTTAAACACTTTATATGCATTACCTTGAATATTTTGCCGACAGCTGGCTACTTCAGTTCTCTGCCATGTCCCCCGCAGTGAGAATTCCAGCTCTCCTAGTGTTTGTAGCATGTAGTGGAAAAGTTTGGAAAGGGTTGTTTACTCGAGGCCTGCATTTTCAGTGCCCAATAATCAGCCTGTTGCAGTCGAACCTCAATAAAGGCTGTAGAAAAATGGGTCCTGTTCTCTCTGCTAGGATATTCTTTTCTACCTACCTGCCTGGTGAATTTTTATTGGTCCTTCAATACCCAGCTTAAATGTTCCTTCAACTGTGAAATCTGTTTTCTTTGGCTCCCACAGCCCCTGAAATTCCCTTAGACCCAGCAACTGGATTATCACTCTTTTTTTTTTTTTTTTTTTCATATTTGAAGGTTTTTATTTTATGTACAAAGAGATAGCATTCTGTCATAAGGTAGATGTCTTGAACGACCCATTCATGGAAGTTTAGTCCAACTTAATGAAGCCTATGTCCTTCGCGTACTGACGGAAACACTGGCGGCACATGTTGAGGCCGTACTTCCGGATCAGACCGTGGCGGTTTGAGCAGACGCGGCAAGAACGAGAACCTTGGCCGAATTTCCTCGGATGGCTCCAGTAGAGTTGCTGGTGACCCATCTTGCTCACTCTGTAGCAACGAGGCAAAAGGCTGGATTATCACTCTTTGTTTACTATTGGTGTTTACCATTGGACTCCTCTAGAAGGAAGGCAGGTCCTCTGGGGATGAGTCCAAGTCTGATTTTGCTGCGCCTAGCAAAGGGCTTGACACAGGGAAGCCTTCAATGAACATTTGTTGAATGAATGAAGTAGTAAAGTTGGCTAATATTCAGAGCTGACCCCCAAAAGAAGAAGTGATTCTGTGTTCATTTATCATGGAAGCCAATGAAGGAGCCCAGCCCATTTCCTTAACTTGTGCAGTGGGTTGAATGATGCCCCCTTCCCACTCTGCCCAAATGAGTCCACACTCTAACCCCGGGATCCTGAGAACATCACCTTATTTGGAAAAAGGATCTTTGCAATTAAGGATCTCAAAATGAGATCAGGGTTATCTGGGTGGACTCTACATTCAAAGACAAGTGTCCTTTTAAGAAAAAGAAGACACAGGAAGGAGAGAAGGCATGTGAAGGTGAGGGTAGAGATTGGAGTTATGCAACCACAGGCCAAGGACTACGTGGAGCCACCAGAAAGAGCAAGGAAGGATTCTCCCTTAGAGCCTTCTAAGAGAGTGCAGCCCTGCTGACACCTTTGTTTGGGGCTTCTGACCTCAAGAATGGTGAAAGAATAAAGTTATGTTGTTTTAGGCCAGTGGTCGGCAAACTCATTAGTCAACAGAGCCAAATATCAACAGTACAACGATTGAAATTTCTTTTGAGAGCCAAATTTTTTAAACTTAAACCATACAGGTGGGTACATTGTTATTAACTTAACTAGGGTACTCCTCAGCTGGCCTTTGCTAAAAACGTCCTCAATCTGATTGAGGTACGTTCGCTGAGGTCGACCCCTTCCAACTCTCCCATCCACACTCATCTTGTATACTTGTTTCGTCTATCTCCTTTCATTCATCCTCTCTATATGTCCATCCCCCACTTCTTCTAACACCACTTCTTCAAAATAGACTCGCCCAGGCCGAAAACCGACTTCTGCGCATGGGCCACGAAGTTTCAGTTGCACTGTACGTGCGCGCCAGCATGTGGTATTTTGTGAAAGAGCCACACTCAAGGGGCCAAAGAGCCGCATGTGGCTCGTGAGCCGCGGTTTGCCGACCACTGTTTTAGGCTATCCAGTTTGTGAAATTTTTTTTTTTTTTTAAATATGGAACGCTTCACGAATTTGCGTGTCATCCTTGCGCAGGGGCCATGCTAATCTTCTCTGTATCGTTCCAATTTTAGTATATGTGCTGCCGAAGCGAGCACTCCAGTTTGTGAAATTTGATATAGCAGCCTCAGGAAACTGATAGAGCTTGGAAACAGAAAGAAGTTTTCTGGGAAATTCCACCAGATCATGGCACTATATGAGTTGAGCCAGATGAGATTTGGGATTTCTTAGCTACTCCCTTCTCAACAAACACCTGAGCATACACCCTAGGCTCTAGCCATGAGGAACCACTCAGGATAGGAGACAGTATGCCATTCATGTTAGTCAGCTCTGGGGTCAGATCCAAAGTATCTTTAGATTTCTTAACACCCTGGAAAGATAGTATGCTTACCTTTTATTACAATATCTTTAGTGCAACTATATGTGAGGTCTTGAACTAGGCAATTTATATGTGTTGACTTAATCTCTACAGCCATCCTATTACTATTTATAGATGGGAAAACTAAAGCTAAGAGAGAGGAACTGGCTTGCCTAGGAACACATATTTAGAAGGGGGCAGAGCCAAGATTCCAGAAGTGCTTGATTCCTGTTGTTTTTGACTTTAAAACACTGAGTTCTTTGAGCTACCATCAGTCCAAGTGGTGAAGAAATTCACAGTGGGGTGAGGGTGGGGGCTTGGCAGGGGTGGGGTGGGGGGGGGGGTGGGCGGGGGATGAAGGCAGATCAATATCCTAAAGAACGATTCAATGCTATTTATTATAGACACAATTGCTATAGACACTGTCACTGTGATCAAGGAATCTTCATGGAAGAGGTGGCATTTGAGGGAGGCTTCACTTCAAAAACACTGGGGACCCAGAGATAAACGACAAGGTTCTTTTTCTTGAGGAATTCAGTACGTATGTGTGTACGTCTACATGTGTGTATTGCACATATTAAAAGACAATGCAACAGAATAATCAGGAATATGGTGGGGACAAGATTCCTAATCAGGCCCCAGAGTGAATCAGAGAAGCCTTTTGGAGGAAGGGATTCCAGCTCCAGATGAGATTTGATGGGTGAGCGTTAGGAGAAAAGTAGCACAGGCTTTCTAGGGACAGAATAAGCAACCCCCTCATAGAGAGGAACAGAGACCTGGGTGCCTGGCATCCCCCGTAGCTCAGTCCAGCAGTCAGTGGCGAGCGAGGAGGGGCATTGCCTGTGGGTTAGAGTTGGTCTTGGAAGAGCTGGTGGGACTGCCCGACAGGTTTCTGGTCTTAATGCATCCTGCGTGGTGCCTTTATGCCAAACCATAAGCCATTCCTTTTCAACCCCCGCACGTGGACGGCAGCACTTCAGGAAAAGAATGTTTAGGGAGCCTGCAACTAAGTGCAGACCAGCGGGCAGGGAAGGTCTGCAAGGGACCGACCCAGCCCGCGGGGAGGCTCCCCGCCCTCTTCAGGAGGCTGGTTACTATGGCAACTAGGTTAGGGCGGAAGTGGCTCGGAAGACTGACTCTCACTAATCAGGTGACTCGCTTGCCTCCTGCACGTGACACCGGAGCCCAGGCGCACTCTGTACCTAATCAGACCCGCCCCTCTTCCTTTTACCGACAACTGACAACGACCTAGAGCAATGGCCTTTGCGGGTCCAACAGGAGACCCCGCCCTGTGGCAGTGAATAAACCAATTAGACTTGGGGAAAAAGAAGCACCGCCCCAGGTCTCACCCGGGTTTGACAGACGCATTTGAGGCCATCCTCGGGTCCCTCCGCCCCATTCCATTCCGGCCGGCGAAGGACAGACCTTTTACCCAATAGCGCGTCTCCTCTCTGTGGTTGGGTCCCGCCCCTATAGAAGCTGAACCAATGAGCACGCCAGGTCTCGGCAGGGTGGTGGGGGTTGCACTGCGGTAATATGGCTCTTCCTTAGGCAGCGGCGGCGGCGGCGCGAGGTGGGGTAGAGCAGTCCTGCCCCTCCGGTGGCGGGTGTTCGGGCTGCAGCGGCTCTGCGGGTCGTGGCTGAGCGGTGGTAGCGGATGCCGGAGGGGTGCCGGCCCCGCCGCTCGGCGGACCCTGGGTCAAGATGAGCGCCTCAGCGTCGATCGGGGGCACGGTCCCCCCGCCGCCCCCGGGCCCGGCCGCCGCCGCGCTGCCTCCCGGTTCTGCTGCGCGGGCCCTGCACGTGGAGCTGCCGTCTCAGCAGGTAACCCTGCGGGCTCGCAGCGCTCGGAAGGGGATCCCGTGGGCGGCGGGCTGTCCCCGTGCCAGCGGGAGACCCCGAGAAGTGGCCGGGAGAACTCGGAGGGCTGACGAGGTTTTGTAAGGGGAGGGGTCCAGTGATGGCCGGACCTCCGGGAGACCCCGCAGCCCGAGGAGAAACCCCGCTACTGGAGCTGGGCTGTGCGGAGACGGAAGGGAGCCGGAGAAACTCCCTGGGGGCCTGAACCCGCCTGTCACCGGGCAGCTGGGGATTCCCTTTCGGAAACCCTCCCCCTTATCCCTCTAGGAACGGGCCCGGGGAAGCCCTGCGGCCCCGCCAGAGACGGGGACAGCGCTTTTCCTCTCCCTACCTACCCGCGGAGAATCCCGTTGCTACTCTTTCCTTCCGGAGAAGCGAGGAGTCGTTCAGGTTTCTGGCATTTACTTTTAGTCTCTCCTGATTGTGAACTGCCCCCCTCCGCTTCCCAGGAGAAATCCTTTGAGACTTCGGGATTGCCTTCCTAATCTCAGACCCCCGAGGAACGCATTTCAGCAATTGAAGGGGCTCTTTCCGCTCTCGTTCCTTCAGATGAGTGTCCGTGGAAGGAGGATTCGATGTATATCCACGTCCCCATCCGTCTGCAAGAGCCCGATGGCTTCTTGGGTCCACATTGTAGGGGGATGATAAAGAGAGCACCGAGTTTGGGGATCGGACAGCATCCTTTGTATCACCCACACATCTGTAGAGTACTCCTTCCCTCCTTCTCTCCCTTGCCCTACTTGTGTCCCCCGAGAGGAGACTTTGCAGGAACAGTAGCTTTAGAGAAACTTAAAGAGCCTTTCCTCCTCTCTATTCCTCCTTCCACACCGAGGACCGCAGAAAAACTGTCAGTTATTGAGTTTATCTTGATGGATTTGTGCGCTGTGCTAAGTGGCTGGTAGTTCATTTAATTCTCACAACTCTGTGAAATAACTGTTTTATTTAACCCCATTTTGTAGAGGTTGGGAAACTGCAGCTTGATGCAAAACCACTCGTTCGAAGCCTTGCATTTAGTAGGTGCCCGCACTGGGTTGCAGAATCCAGCGTCTGACTCCAGCCCGTGCGCGTGGTTGTGTGCTTGAGGCTTGTGCAACTGCCTGCACACAGGACAGAGCATGTTCCTGCATACCTTTTCTCCAACTTGTGATTTCTGTCATAGGACTTGGGAAAGGTTCATAAGGAGGAAAGCAGAGGGTGGGTGGGAAATGGGATGGATCTGAATACCGAAAGAGTGTGTGTGTGTGTGTGTGTGTGTGTGTGTGTGGCAGAAGTGGATTTAAAAGACTGGGGCAGTGTGTGCCCTGGTTTTGTGGTGCTGTGGGAAGCGAATTTGTGGAGAATATTAGGAGCTTGAGAGCAGTGAGGTTTGGATTATATTTATGAGGTGCTGGGAAAGAGTAAAAGTATTGAGGGGAGGGGAGACTAACCTCTGGAATGAGGGTTACTGTGAAGGGTATGTATGAAGAGGTGGAGTGTGAGACTGGATGCTGGGAGAAGTAGTGGTGGGCACTGTTATCAGCAAGCAGTCTGGAGAAATCCTAAGGAGTTGAGGACCTAGAGGGGTTTCGTGTGGCAAGCTTTGGGAAAATGTGGAATCAGGAAAGAGAAAGCATCGTTTGTTTCATAGAGCCTGTTCTTTGGTAACAGTTCACAGTTTAACATTTGAGGAAATAACCCTAACATACTTTCCATGAAAGAAATTCAACTGCACTTGTGTTTATCAAATTTTTGGATTTGTGATGAGGAATATATATAGTGACTTAAGTGCACAGTGAATGCTGTATGAGTGCCAAGTATGGTATTTACAGCTTTCTGGGGTGTCATCCTTGGATTCTTGGAAGGCAGCCTATAGTATAACAAAAACACTTTCACTTTTGCAGTTGATATTAATTTAGCTTCCTGGGTCCAAATGTCCAAATTTTTGGGGTTATAAATATATAACATTAAAAAAGAAACATTTTTGTTAAATTGTTATCTGTATACAGTAAACCGCACTGATTACTAGTACACAACTTGAAGAATTTTAAGTATACATCTTTAAAAAAAAAGATATATTTTATTGATTTTTTACAGAGAGGAAGGGAGAGGGATAGAGAGTTAGAAACATTGATGAGAGAGATACATCGATCAGCTGCCTCCTTGTACACTCCCCACCGGGGTTGTGCCTGCTATCAAGGTACATGCCCTTGACCGGAATCGAACCTGGGACCCTTGAGTCCGCAGGCCAACGCTCTATCCACTGAGCCAAACTGGTCAGGGCTTAAGTATACATCTTGATGAATTGTCACAAAGTGAACACAGTTCTGCAACTACTACCTGGATTAAGAAATACAAAATTATTAGCATTCCAGATGTCCCCTTTATGTTCTCTCCCTTCTCTCCCCTTTTCTCTGAAGGAGTCACTATTCTGATTTCTAACATAAGAGATCAGTTTTCACCTATTCTTGAACTGTATATAAATGGAATCATGCAAAATGTATGATTGTGACTGGTTTCTTTTGCTCAGTATTGTTTGTGAGAGTCATAGGATATGTGTGTGTATAAAACGTTCTGTTAGCATTAATTCATTGTCTTTTTATTTTTGCCTGTAGCTTTTGCAAAATTTCAAAGGTTTAGATAAATTGGAAGTCCAATTAATTTTCCTTTAAATAATACCTTTTGACAATCATGTAATTTTAATAGATCCCATGCTATTTAATAAAATGTTAATGTTTCTAAACAAATAAGCCAACCCTATTGATTGAGAATTTCTACTAAAGTTGATTATTTCAAAGCATAGATTCAGTGGTTCCCCAGCTTATTTCTAAGGCAGAGTTTTTCCAACTTTGGCACTGTTGACATTTTGGGTGGGTAGACGGACGGGGCTATAAGATTTTTAGCCCCACTCCTGGCCTCTACCCACAGTGTACCAACAGCACCTGCCCAGTCCTAGCAATAAAAAATGCATCCAGATGTTGCCAAATGTTCCTCAAGGGGCAAAATTACTCCTGGTTGAGAACCACTGTTCTCAAGTATACGTTCATTTTAAGATAGAGAGTATCACTGCTATTACTACTCATTTATTCTATTCTTCATTAATCTCATTGCTTCTAATGACTGTAATGTTATAATAGATTAGTTCCAGAAGTATTGGACCACCCCCCACCTGCCTCCAGAAAAAGACGTTTGTTTTTGCTTAAAGAAAGTTCATTAAATTATGTGTAATACCTAATTTATTTCTCTTATTTTAATCTACTTGTCTTAAAAAAACACACACACATCAAAAAACTTTAGTTAAGACTTTATAACTCCTGATCCTTTGTATGTATGAGTACTAACTATAGTCTGATAGCTACTTGACTGTGTGTCAAATGAAACTACTACTTAGTCTTTGCCTCCTTTTGCTTCTCTGTGATCTTATTTTAACTGTAATTTCAGTATGAACTAGTCACACATTTTGAAGACTGTTTTTGCTCTGTAATTTTTGGTTGTGGTTCTTAATTACCTAGTGAATATGAGTTCATTTGAAGAGTAACTTCCTTTACACCCTTAGATTTAGGAGTTTTGAAATAAAAAATGTGTTTTGTGATAGAGACATTTAATATCCCTTAAAAGTTTAATTGAGAGCATTTCTTTCCTTCCTAAAGACTTCCTCACTTGCGTATAACTTATCTATGTTTCTCAGATACTTAGAGTGGGTGTGTGCAGGGGGTGCTTTTTAGTGATTGCTTAGTGACCCTTTTTGGGGCGTCACATATTTCTTTAAGATTTGGTAGAACCTATAGGCTCTTTCCTTAGAAAATGCACTTACATACATACATAAACAATTTTGCATGCAGGTTTGGTTTCCTTGAAGTATAAATAGAAGAGCTCAGATTAAATAATCCTAGCCCACTTTAATCCCTTTTTAAAAAAAAAATTAAAAGATTTTGCAATTTAATATTATTTTTCTTAGTTGTCCATGTCTCTATCTATCTATCTATCTATCTATCTATCACATTTTGTATAATAATATTTAGTTACTAGTATGTTTAACTAACCCCATATGTAGACTTTTGGATTCTTCAGTTTTTCTCTATTACATTGTTGCAATGAGTATTCATACCTAATTTTTGTAGGATAAATTTAGAGCAGTGAAATAACTCAAAGGATGGATATATATATATATATATATATATAATGCGTATAACACACACACATATATATATATATATATATATATATATAAATATAACTATATATAAAATAGTTATATATAACTATTTTAGCTTTAGAAAATATTAGCAGTTTCCAAAAAGGATATGCCTATTACACTGCTACCAAGTTAGGACCTGCATCTTCACATTTTGTCAACTTTGGGCATCATAAATTTTCTCAGTGTTTTCCAATCCAATTTTATGTATACAGGTTTTATATATGTATTTTACCTACATGTACATATACATACAGGAGTAGACAAAAGTAGATTTACAGTTATGAGTACACAAAACAGTTTATTCTTGTATTATTATATATTAATTGCATTATTTTCCATATGAACAACTGTAAACCTACTTTTGCTCATCCCTTTATTTTTGTTATTTAAATAAGCATTTCTTTAATTATTAGTTATATTTTAATAGCTTTATTTTTGTATATCAAACACTATGTTAATTACATGATCTCATTTATTCTTATACAACCCTATGAATTTCAGTACCTTTACACAGATTTATGTAACATTTCTTTAATGAATTCCTTGTTCATATCTTTGCCATTAATTTTTCTGATTGCTTACTTATGTTTTTCATTGATTTAAGAACATTTTTTCTTGTCCTTTTTTTGGAAGGAGGTGGGGTATATTAATGCTATGAACCTTTATCTTCCTTGAATTTTTTGGGGGAAGTGAATGTCTTTATTGTTATTATTTTGTCTGGCCATCATCTCTCCTGCACTTACTCTGATCACTGTAACTTACTACCCTACCCCTTCTTTAGGAAATTGCTTCCCCTTCTCCATGTTTTTTTTTTTTTTTTTAAATTGAGATATAATTGACATTAGTTTCAGGTGTACAACATAATGCTTTGATATCCTATATAATAAAAGGGTAATATGCAAATTGATGCTAACAGCGGAATGACCAGAATGATCGCGTGACCAGTCACTATGAGATGCACTGACCACCTCTTGGTCCCTTTTCCCAGTGGGCAGGCTCCCATCGCCCCATGGTGAATGGGGAACCAGGGGTGGGTGGCGGTGGGGGACAGGGCCGGCTGCAGAGATGGCCCTGATCACAGGCCAGGCCTAGAGACCATAAACCCACACACATTTCGTACGCCGGACCTCTAGTTTTTATACATTGTGGAATTTTAAAATAGATTTTATTTTTTAAAATAGTTTAGGTTTATAGAAAAACAGTGCAGAAAGTTCCC